TTGTTTTTGAAATAAATTATAAAACATAATATTATGCTGCCTTGTTTGTATTAATGTATATATTTGTGTGCGTGTATCACAGTATGTGTTTATTATTTGAATATTGTAAGTGTTGGAAATGAAATAAAATCATTGGGGGAGCCTTATAGCAATTTTGGAACTTGGTAGCCCTAATATAAGAAATTTTGCAAATTTCTTTCACAGCCTTGTAGCCTGGCATGGCCAGGTGGTTAGGAGCTCGACAGATAGCCCTCGTGTAGCCTTGCGCGAAATTCACAACAAACAAACACAGCCTTGTAAGGCTGCACGATTCGCACAAGCATTAAAAACCCACACCCGAACGGAAACAACTACACAAACACAAGTACAGGAAGTGAAAATCAACACACAAACTAAAGAAACAACAAAACAAATGAAGACACCTCTATCCATACCTCCTCAAATACAGGAATTCTCAAACAAAGTAGTAGAGGCAATCAAAAACATATTCAGAATATTCCAAGAAAAATATAACAGCCCCCAAAACGAAGAGGATGCATTTACACTAATCACAAAAATAGCAACACAACAACAACTACTCTTATTACCACATTTACTACTCCTACTATAGATCCAAAGAACATAAAAACCTGAGAATAAGGCAACACACATATACAACTTGAAAACATAAAACGGACATGGCCCTGGAAAAGAAAGTACTAATAGAAATCATCAACTCCATATCAAACCAGCCAACCAAAAAAAAACCTGAACCTAAGAAAAATTATAACAACAGTACAGAAGGGAGGAAGAGGTCTACCTGAACCTGACCCTCCCAGGTCGTAAAAACGACCTAAATCTCGACTCGGAGAAGAGAGAGAGAACGAACGAAGAAGGCTGCACGAGCTCCACTTTTTTGGTGCAGTTTTAATATTGAATTATTTAGATAAGAGATATAATGTATCTACTCTTATTAGAGTAAACTTTAGGGGCAGCCCAAAACGTTTAATTGTATTTAGGGATTATTATATAAGAGTAACTTTAACTTTTTCTGCTGCAGTTCATGTATAAAAGCATTGCAACACGTCATTAAGTGTAGTCCATCGCTAACTTGACACCTTGGGTGTAAGTGTTCTTAAACGTAATGAAAAACAAAATGATTGTTTCGTAAGGGCAGATTTCAGTAGTTGTTCAAGTAAGTTGAAACAGAAAATAGTTTATTCAGGAAATTTTGAATTCCAGCAGACTGTTTGTTCCTAAACTATATTTACTAGAAACAATGACATACACTCTGTTTTTAAACGACAACAGCTTGATGGAAAATCTAGAGGGTGCTTTTTTAAATAGTAGATACGTAAGCGATATCAAACTCACAAAAACTATCGTGACCACACACACAAGCAGTTATTCTACATAATGTTAAGTTTTACACACTAAAGGCTTCAATTATACGTAAATTAATGAATATATTCAGTGAGAAAAAATGAAACTACGACGTTACAATAGATTATAAAAGTTATAAATTTTCTAAGTTTCTTGTCTGAAAAAATACTGTCAAATTGTTATAAATGAAATTGTAGTTAACATTTTGACTAGTTACATCCAGAACATACATTTTGAAAAATAAAGTTTTTTTTTAATTTACATGTTATTGCTGTAGCTAAATTTTTTTTTCATATATTCTAAGGTTTGTCGTTCTTCAATGAAAGGGGTGTCACCAATAATCGTTAACATTTTACTACATCAGCTTTACTTCTTGTTTATCGAATTTTATTGATCACTTCCCCCAGGTGCATGGCGATATGTCTGCGGACTAACAACGCTAGAAACCGGGTTTCGATACCCGTGGTGGGCAGAGCACAGATAGCCCATCGTGTAGCTTTGTGATTAACACTATACGTTTTGTATTTACGTCTACAATTTTTAAAGGATAGTG